AAGGTGTCAGCACCGACACAATCCACACAGTCAAGTAAGCCAATTTGGTAACCGAACGTTTTCGTTCCCTTCTCATCATGGGTAAGTACAGGGAATAATGAAAAAATGTCAAATACAGTAATTTATAGAGCTACAGCAAAAGCATAGATCGAGAACCTCACGCTATACGCGTGGGAAAAAATTCAGCAGAACAGGTCAAAAACAGGGTGAAGGTGAAGAAATGACTAAAACATAATGAAAACATCAGTGAGGAGAAGCATTCCTGACACTTTCACGAGGATTAGCGCCAAACAACTGAAGTGACAAAACATTTTCCTTCTGATCACATAGTTCAGGGGACAACTTACGGATATATAACGCTTCCAAAACAGACAAATGTAATACAGATCTGCCACGGGCCAAAACCGAGAAAACATCATCTCTGTACAACTCACGACAACTATCACTAACCGACAGATGACTCTTGATCGCCGATTGCTGATTGGTGGAATGTCGCGTCTTTTTCGTCACCTCCAATGTCGCAGCTCTTGGGCAGTCAGTCGCCTTGCAGTCACTTCCGGAGGTGACGGTGACTTGGAGGTGTCATGAGTTGTACAGAGATGATGTTTTCTCAGTTTTGGCCCGTGGCAGATCTGTATTACATTTGTCTGTTTTGGAAACGTTATATATCCGTAAGTTGCCCCCTGAACTATGTGTTCAGAAGGATAATGTTTTGTCACTTCAGTTGTTTGCTGCTAATCCTCGTGAAAGTGTCAGGAATGTTTCTCCTCATTGATGTTTTCATTATGTTTTAGTCATTTCTTCACCCTCACACTGTTGTTGACTTGTTCAGCTGAATTTTATTTTTTCCACACGTATAGCGTGAGGTTCTCGATCTATGCTTTTGCCGTAGCTCTATAAATTGCTGCATTTTGACATTTTTTCCATTATTCCCTGTACTTACCCATGATAAGGGAACGAAAACGTTCGGTTACCAAATCGGCTTACTTGACTGTGTGGATTGCGTCGGTGCTGACACCTTTTTTCTTTCGAAATTGGATACGCCTGCAATTTTTTCCTTGCATATCTCTCTTATCTCTATGTATGTCGATACTAAAACCAGGATTATGTGCCGACGGTGTATCTTAAAAAACAGGCTTCTATTCAAAACACAGGATTTTACACAAGACTTTACAGTAGTCAATAACGAGATACAGACAGACAGACACACACACACACACACACACACACCCATGCACCCACCCACACCCATCCACCCACCGACACCCATCCACCCACCCACCCACACCCACCCAAGCACCCCCCCCCCCCCCCTCACACGCACAGAGTAAATCATCATGAAAGACGAACACGGCCGGCGACAGTGTGTCACGTTCTTACGTTCTTGTGCAAGCACGCCGATGCTTCAAGTAGAGCATTTCAGGAGTTTCATCCAAGAGGAACAGCTCTGCAGACATGGTAACAGCACATACAGAAAAAGGCAGCGGAGTTCACTCCCTTGGTCGGTGACAGAAGACATTTCATTTTGATAAGTTTAACATAACATACGCCCACACACTTGTGTACACCTTGCAGCTACAGTGTATATCCAGTGCTGCCAAACCGTCCGATTTTTCGGACAGTGTCCGATTTTTGAAGCCTCTTCCGAAAACCGGTCCGAAAAGGGAAACGTCCGAAAAGCAGCCAAAATGTCGGAGATCATTACTTTCCTATGCAGAAGTCCTGTACTTTCACTTTTCAGCGTAACTGAAGGCACAAATCACTGTACATTTGCTTCTAAAAGGTTAGCGCTTGGCTGTGGAAGTGCAAAGTAACATGCCTGGATCAGGCTGGATCATGGATGGCATGTACGCTGACGGTCTGTACAGAGTCAGTGCAGTGTGCGACCACACTCATCATTACAAAATTCATGACAACTCCGGGGTTACCATGGCAACGAAGCGAATTTTCATGGTGTTTTAGGCGATATTTTGAATTCTCTGTAAAAAAATTGCCGAGGAGAAAAATTCGCACCATGTGGCCAGCCTTGGCGGTGAAGGGTGTCCGATTTTGGGCGAAAAGTATTTGGCAGCACTGTATATCCCACACTTGTGTACACCTTGCAGCTACAGTGTATATCACACACTTGTGTACACCTTGCAGCTACAGTGCATATCACACACACTTGTGTACACCTTGCAGCTACAGTGTATATCACACATTGTGCACACCTTACAGCTACAGTGTATATCACACACTTGTGTACACCTTACAGCTACAGTGTATATGCATATGGATGGAGGAGCCAACCAGAAAGTAGCACAGTTAAATCTGTCTCAGAGCGCGTTCACATGACGGTGCGGCCTCAAGACTGCACAATGCTATGGTTCTAAGATACACGGCATGACACTTCACACGATGACTAGCTCTGCAGACACAGCGCATACAAGCCAGTGCATGAGATGCGAAACCGAAATCGAAAACGCACAAGCAGGGGTCCGGGTGTTGCGGGCCACGATCTCGCGGACTACAGGCCTGCGATTCAGATTTCAAATAAATCGATGATCACCTTGGTGATCCTCTCGCGAGGCCGAGAAGCCGTGACATTTTCTCGTCGTGTGAAAGGCCTATCAGACAACCGCTTTTTAAAAGGGACAGTTCAAAATGTGGTCGTTGTGTACAGGTGGTCTCCTTATCCAGGGTCATTGGACTGGAAATGATATCCCTTGGTCCTATTAGAAGTGGTCCTTATCAGGGTGGTAGCCTTGACAGGTTGTACCGTGCTCAAATACTAAATTGCTGTAAATCGGCTCAAAGAGCTCTCCATGGCTTTGCATAAGAGCTGGATGCATGGGGTCTCCCTGAACACAGACAAACAGAGTGAAACTTCAGTGAGAAGGCAGACTTTGCCTGTGCCTATGGTGAAGTAAAATAAAGCTATTAAAACAAACAACTGTTTCGCTTGATAGGACATGGGTTCTGCGGACGCAGAAAGAAAGGGTTGCGGTGAAGTCTCGGAGCTTTGGTTGTAATGAGACAAGAGCAACGACAATTATGAGACACATGGCCGTACTTGCGAATGAATTCGACAGGCGTGAGCGTAGCGTGGTGCATTGCCTCAACAGCTGCCGTCTGCTGAGACGCTCTGGTGTTGCTGGCACAAACTCATTCTTGCTCGGATCGAACACGGGTAAGCACCGTACCATTTCATCTGCAAAAGAAATAAATAAATCAAACAAGAAACAACAACAAGTTCACACACCAGTAATCAAGCTCTACAATAATGCAAACAGGAACACAATATACACTAGCATGCATACACAGGGGCGTCGGAAGCTATTCTACATTGGTGCGGCTATGAAAAGACGGGGGTCCGGGGGGGGGGGGGGGGGGACATGCCCCGGGAACATCATGGGGAAAATGGGGCCCAAATAGCCCATCTTTGGCCGCATCTGCTGCACCGGATCCGACGCCCCTGCTACAGGTACATTGTAACAGCAGCAGCAGCAGTACCTCCAACAGCAGCAGCAGCAGTACCTCCAACAGCAGCAGCAGTACCTCCAACAGCGGCAGCAGTACCTCCAACAGCGGCAGCAGCAGCAGCAGTTCAGAAGGGGTTTGGATAAGGGAAATGTTTGAGGCTGACTTCTCGCTTATCACTACTGACCTGGTTGTACAAATTCTTGTTCTCTATCCCTGTGTTGTGGTGAGTATGTGTCACATGACGGTGTGCAGGATGGGGTAGCGGCACACAGTAACCTGGACAACAACAACGACGACGATGACAACGACAACAACAACAACAACAACAGCAGAGCTGACACTTGACAGCTTATATCAGTGATTCCACATTAGCAACAGTGAATACCACCACAAATGCACATATGCACACATACACACATGCACCTAATATGCACACATCCTGATCCTGGTAAACACTGCCATTACGGTCACGTGTCAACTTGCAGGGCCGACAATATCGAACGACGAGCGATGGCAGTCCGCTGAGAGAGAGGTCAGGGACATAAGGATCATGTTCGAGAGAGCCATCTCTGGCAGCTATAACGATCTGGCTTATCATCGGAAACGATTCCTCTCACGGCTGCCGCTTGAACTGGTCCATCACTCTCCACAACAGAGCGAACATTCCATGAGCCAATGCTCAGAGTCGTTCCAAGTTGTCGTCTTCGTGCGGTAGTTTGCTCTACCTGCGGGCTTGCAAGGCCTCGCGAAGGACTGCGATGTGGGAGCCACGAGGAGAGTGTCGGCATCGTAACTATCCGACCAAGTCTCCTGTCGATGAAGACCCCACCTCAGGCACTATTGGCCTGGACGGCTGGGGACACCCCAGGCCGTCCACAACGGCGAGAAGAAGCACGGACGGAGGCCAGAAACAAGAGCCCGAAAAGTACAACCGTCCTCCACCAGAGCAGTGAACACTCATACACTTATACACACATACACACATGTACACACACATACACCAGGGGCGTAACAGGACATTGTGTAGAAGTACGACCGGGGGTCCGAGGTCCCCACTGGGGAAACTCGGATTTTTCGGGCAACAGGGCACATTTTAGCATCCAGCAGGCGCTCTAGGCGGACTATCCTGGACGAAAAGTGGTATGACCATGGTCAAACTGGTCGTACCATGTGTGACGCCCCTGTACACCCCCCCCCCCCCCCCCCCCCACACACACACGTACACACACACACGTACAAACACTGCACTCACCGATCCAGCGTGGAGTGGACATCTTGCACTAAGTGCCCGGCCGGCAACATCACCCATCCTCTCAGACATGTGCTGCTAGAGCGATGCTGCTGTGGCGGTGGTAGTGGTGGCACACATTGATCACAAGCACCAGCAGCACCAGCACCAGCATCAATGTGAGGTACTGCACACGGATCGACACCATCACGACCGCTGTCTACACATGATGACGACGATGATGATGTGGGAGACGGTGATAGGCAAGGCATGTTCCTCGGCTGCAGTACAAACGCGGGTGAAGCAGTCGCGTTGCCGTTGTTACGCATAGTCCGTACATCTGCAACGCACACACACACACACACACACACAAACACACACACACACAAACACACACAAACACACACACACAAACACACACACACACACACACACACACACACACACACACAAACACAAACACACACAGTCCTAAGTCATTCTTCTGGCTGAAACGCTATGACCAGATCGACTCTATGTAGTGGAAGAAATATTGGATCGTGTAGCCAAGTGGATTGCTCTGTTTGTCCAAGTCATTCTCTGTTATACTTGGCTCTCCATTCGAGTCCATTCTCTAACTTATAAAAACAAATTAAAACCATTGTATTATATTGATGGGGGCGGGGAAAGACCCAGAATTTTGGAAATCAGTCAAAACTATCTAAAACGTAAAAAGTCTCTAAAACCAAAAAAACATGCACGATGATATTATCATTTGGCCTCTTGCCCCACACAGACAACTCTACAATCCAACAGTCCAGTTTTCGACCTGCAAATTAGAGTAAAGGGCAAACCCGGAAAATGCCCTGGCAGCCTTGGAGGTGTCCGAGATACACCACAAAACAAAAATCACTGAAAACCACAGGAAATCCAGGACAATCCAGCGAAATGATCAAGCAATATGCATTACTGCGAGTACTGGAATTGGAAACATCGCTTTTCACCGAAAGTAGGATGTATTAGGCAAGAATGTGAACAACACAAAACAAGGCAGGATAAGGATCATTGGATCGTACCGTCCTGTAACGAGCGAATAGCACTTGGTGAGTTCTCAGCTATCCACTCCAGGAACGTAGTCTGCCATTGAGCGGCCTTCACAAACTCGCCGTACTGTCCGACTAGCGGGCGGCTGCACAGACGTGCAAGAACACACATACGTGTGCCAGAAGCCTAAAAAGGAACACACACACACACGTACAGACATACACACAGATGTAGATTGGAGGCGTTGGACTCGCATGCACACAGACACAATGTCAGAATAGAAAAGCATACCCCCCCCCCCCCCCCGTACACACACACGCATACACACAGCTCCACACCGAGAGGATGAGAGAGAGAATTGGAATTGGAGAGAGAGAGAGAGAAACACACACACACAGATCACAGTGTACGTACTGCATCAGACTCCGCTAAGCGATCGAGAAACTGACAAGATGAGGATTGCGAGGATGCACCGGTGGATCTGTGACAGAACACGCGGAAATAAAGGACATGCGTGACTGATACTGGATTTAAAAGAATGTACTTCAAGATTTCTGCTGTAATCCATTGGTCGTACACGGCTACTCCAAGTAAAAAAAAAAACTAATAATGAAAAGAGCTGCCCCAAAATTTTCTTGCCATGAAAATGCAACGCACAGGGGCGAACCCCCGACTTCACCCCAGACAAATGTGCCTTTCTGAACCCCAGACAAATGTGCCTTTCTGAACCCCAGACAAATGTGCCTCTCTGAACCCCAGACAAATGTGCCTTTCTGAACCCACTATATCTAGATTACCAAGAGTATATACTGTAAAGTACCATTGATTTCTGTCGGAGAGTGCATTTTTGTATTACTCCGCTGCTCGCTAAAAACGGGCTGGAAACGTACAACTGAAACACTGCACCACGTGATGTGAGTTTTTGCCGTTGGCGAACCCCATAGAAAGGGTATCAGGAGTTGCACACTAGTACTATCACTATTGATATTACTAGTGGTGACTGTCGACTGCATTCTCGTCAACTAGCATGAAAAAAACACAAAAATTCGACAAATGACTGGGAAAGAGGGGCACTTTTCACAGGGGATGCTCAATCAGAGTAGAAGGGCACTGGCCCCCTCTCTCCCCCCCCCCCCCCCCCCCCCCTCCCTCTGCCCTCCTTTGGTTAGAACCGTGGTGTATGTACAGTGTGACCCGTTGCCTATCCCCAGGACAGTGCCCCCCCCCCCCTCACCCCCCTTGGCTAGATAACTGTGGTGTACGTACAGTGTGACCCGTTGTTTATCCACAGGATAGTGTAGCAGAGACTGCTTGGGTGCATAGCGCTGTATATCCACATAACTATGACGAGATGTTGATAACACCTGGTAGGGTTGCCAGTGGGTGGTGGTGGCAGTGGTGGTGGTGGTGGTGGTGGTTGTAGAGCACACACACACAGACACACACAGATACACAGACACACAGATGGATACATACACAGGAACAACAGCAGGAGTAGTAGCAGCAGCAACATCAGCAACATCAGCAATAACAGCAGCAGCAGCAGCAACATCAGACACAACAACACGAGCATCAGAACAGCATCACATTGTTAGAATGAAGAGTCATATCACACACATCATATGTATGACACACATCTGTATTGACAATTTAGCACAATGGCATATCTGCAGACAGCAGTCTGCATAGCAGTGTTACCAGACTCTTAGTGTCGTCCAACCAGCAACAGTCATGTATACACATAAAGAACGCATTTAAAAAACATCTCACAGCTTACCCAGGATTCCAAGCTGAGTGGGTTAGCAGTACATGGCCCAGAGTTGATACGTGGCAACAGCAATGACTGACCAGACTGACCAGCCTGACCAGCAGACTGACCAGCAGAGAGACCACTATCACCTGTAGACATTCCAGGCAATGCCGTTGCTGCTGTTGCGCTGTGAGCGTGTAGATGATGTCCACTGGAACTCTCAACTGTTGCCGGTACAGCTGCTGCTGAACTGCTGCTATCGTGCATGCTGGTATCACGGCTCTTTGAGCAGCTCAGATGCTGCTCAGTGGCTGCAGGCTGCAGATCTGGACGACGATAAGCAGCGTGTTTCAGTTGTTGACATAGACAGTGATACTGGGGATGGTGGTGGTGCTGGGGAGTTGTCCGATACGCACAGGCTGAAATTGGACAAGCTGAGAGAACCGCTCATGAGAGATGCCTGCAAAGCAAATCCAGACGAGCGTGCGCGGACACACACACGTACAAATACATACATGGGATCATTTGTATTCTCGTAAGGATTGGTTCACCAAACTGGAACCCCGAGGTACCGGCAGTGATATTGCCCAACTTCCTTAGCTCTGAGGATGGGTGATTTGAACTGATCTCCAATATGATTTGGCAAGCATTGCACTCGCTCACATACAGTCAACTTCGCGTACAACAACACTCGGCGGGGCATCAGAAAAGTGTCCTTATTCGCGAAGTGTCCTTTTATACCCGAAACCTCATTATATGTATTGCAGTTGGGTGGGACTTTTGCTCTGGGCATGGAAATTGTGTCACTATCCGCGAATTGTCGTTATATCCGCAGTCGTTATATCCTCAGTCGTTATATCCTCAGTCGTTATATCCTCAGTCGTTATATCCTCAGTCGTTATATCCGCAGTCGTTATATCCGCAGTCGTTATATCCGCAGTCGTTATATCCGCAGTCGTTATATCCGCAGTCGTTATATCCGCAGTCGTTATATCCGCAGTCGTTATATCCGCAGTCGTTATATCCGCAGTCGTTATATCCGCAGTCGTTATATCCGCAGTCGTTATATCCGCAGTCGTTATATCCGCAGTCGTTATATCCGCAGTCGTTATATCCGCAGTCGTTATATCCGCAGTCGTTATATCCGCAGTCGTTATATCCGCAGTCGTTATATCCGCAGTCGTTATATCCGCAGTCGTTATATCCGCAGTCGTTATATCCGCAGTCGTTATATCCGCAGTCGTTATATCCGCAGTCGTTATATCCGCAGTCGTTATATCCGCAGTCGTTATATCCGCAGTCGTTATATCCGCAGTCGTTATATCCGCAGTCGTTATATCCGCAGTCGTTATATCCGCAGTCGTTATATCCGCAGTCGTTATATCCGCAGTCGTTATATCCGCAGTCGTTATATCCGCAGTCGTTATATCCGCAGTCGTTATATCCGCAGTCGTTATATCCGCAGTCGTTATATCCGCAGTCGTTATATCCGCAGTCGTTATATCCGCAGTCGTTATATCCGCAGTCGTTATATCCGCAGTCGTTATATCCGCAGTCGTTATATCCGCAGTCGTTATATCCGCAGTCGTTATATCCGCAGTCGTTATATCCGCAGTCGTTATATCCGCAGTCGTTATATCCGCAGTCGTTATATCCGCAGTCGTTATATCCGCAGTCGTTATATCCGCAGTCGTTATATCCGCAGTCGTTATATCCGCAGTCGTTATATCCGCAGTCGTTATATCCGCAGTCGTTATATCCGCAGTCGTTATATCCGCAGTCGTTATATCCGCAGTCGTTATATCCGCAGTCGTTATATCCGCAGTCGTTATATCCGCAGTCGTTATATCCGCAGTCGTTATATCCGCAGTCGTTATATCCGCAGTCGTTATATCCGCAGTCGTTATATCCGCAGTCGTTATATCCGCAGTCGTTATATCCGCAGTCGTTATATCCGCAGTCGTTATATCCGCAGTCGTTATATCCGCAGTCGTTATATCCGCAGTCGTTATATCCGCAGTCGTTATATCCGCAGTCGTTATATCCGCAGTCGTTATATCCGCAGTCGTTATATCCGCAGTCGTTATATCCGCAGTCGTTATATCCGCAGTCGTTATATCCGCAGTCGTTATATCCGCAGTCGTTATATCCGCAGTCGTTATATCCGCAGTCGTTATATCCGCAGTCGTTATATCCGCAGTCGTTATATCCGCAGTCGTTATATCCGCAGTCGTTATATCCGCAGTCGTTATATCCGCAGTCGTTATATCCGCAGTCGTTATATCCGCAGTCGTTATATCCGCAGTCGTTATATCCGCAGTCGTTATATCCGCAGTCGTTATATCCGCAGTCGTTATATCCGCAGTCGTTATATCCGCAGTCGTTATATCCGCAGTCGTTATATCCGCAGTCGTTATATCCGCAGTCGTTATATCCGCAGTCGTTATATCCGCAGTCGTTATATCCGCAGTCGTTATATCCGCAGTCGTTATATCCGCAGTCGTTATATCCGCAGTCGTTATATCCGCAGTCGTTATATCCGCAGTCGTTATATCCGCAGTCGTTATATCCGCAGTCGTTATATCCGCAGTCGTTATATCCGCAGTCGTTATATCCGCAGTCGTTATATCCGCAGTCGTTATATCCGCAGTCGTTATATCCGCAGTCGTTATATCCGCAGTCGTTATATCCGCAGTCGTTATATCCGCAGTCGTTATATCCGCAGTCGTTATATCCGCAGTCGTTATATCCGCAGTCGTTATATCCGCAGTCGTTATATCCGCAGTCGTTATATCCGCAGTCGTTATATCCGCAGTCGTTATATCCGCAGTCGTTATATCCGCAGTCGTTATATCCGCAGTCGTTATATCCGCAGTCGTTATATCCGCAGTCGTTATATCCGCAGTCGTTATATCCGCAGTCGTTATATCCGCAGTCGTTATATCCGCAGTCGTTATATCCGCAGTCGTTATATCCGCAGTCGTTATATCCGCAGTCGTTATATCCGCAGTCGTTATATCCGCAGTCGTTATATCCGCAGTCGTTATATCCGCAGTCGTTATATCCGCAGTCGTTATATCCGCAGTCGTTATACGCAGTCTTCCGCAGTCGTTATATCCGCAGTCGTTATATCCGCAGTCGTTATATCCGCAGTCGTTATATCCGCAGTCGTTATATCCGCAGTCGTTATATCCGCAGTCGTTATATCCGCAGTCGTTATATCCGCAGTCGTTATATCCGCAGTCGTTATATCCGCAGTCGTTATATCCGCAGTCGTTATATCCGCAGTCGTTATATCCGCAGTCGTTATATCCGCAGTCGTTATATCCGCAGTCGTTATATCCGCAGTCGTTATATCCGCAGTCGTTATATCCGCAGTCGTTATATCCGCAGTCGTTATATCCGCAGTCGTTATATCCGCAGTCGTTATATCCGCAGTCGTTATATCCGCAGTGGTTATATCCGCAGTCGTTATATCCGCAGTCGTTATATCCGCAGTGGTTATATCCGCAGTCGTTATATCCGCAGTCGTTATATCCGCAGTCGTTATATCCGCAGTCGTTATATCCGCAGTGGTTATATCCGCAGTCGTTATATCCGCAGTCGTTATATCCGCAGTGGTTATATCCGCAGTCGTTATATCCGCAGTCGTTATATCCGCAGTGGTTATATCCGCAGTCGTTATATCCGCAGTCGTTATATCCGCAGTCGTTATATCCGCAGTCGTTATATCCGCAGTGGTTATATCCGCAGTCGTTATATCCGCAGTCGTTATATCCGCAGTGGTTATATCCGCAGTCGTTATATCCGCAGTCGTTATATCCGCAGTGGTTATATCCGCAGTCGTTATATCCGCAGTCGTTATATCCGCAGTCGTTATATCCGCAGTCGTTATATCCGCAGTCGTTATTAGCCAAGTAGACTGTAAGCGCACTCCTCAGGAAGAAGTCGCAAGAGGCACTCCTGCCCCGGCGCATACCAGCGATATTGCTGGAAACAGCACTCAGACAAAATTACAATAGCTAAACAGACAGCTATAGATCCATGCTTACATTGTTTATAGCCAGTGGACCAGACCAGAGCAGAGTGGGTTGGAATGCTGTCCAGTAGTGTATGTCAGTGTCACTGGGTACTGTCACATACTTACAGCGTAGCACGTCTGCCCACACTCTAGCACTGACCATCACACAATATATATACACACACACATACACACAAATGAGAGGGAGAGGGAGAGGGAGAGAGAGAGAGAGAGAGAGAGAGAGAGAGAGAGAGAGAGAGAGAGAGAGAGAGAGAGAGAGAGAGAGAGAGAGAGAGAGAGAGAGAGAGAGAGAGAGAGAGAGAGAGAGAGAGAGAGAGAGAGAGAGAGAGAGAGAGAGAGAGAGGGAGAGGGAGAGGGAGAGAGAGAGAGAGAGAGAGAGAGAGAGAGAGAGAGAGAGAGAGAGAGAGAGAGAGAGAGAGAGAGAGAGAGAGAGAGAGAGAGAGAGAGAGAGCGAGTGAGTGACAGAGAGACACACACACAGGTACAAAACAGACAAATAGCAAGAGAGGTGATACGTGAGACAAAAAGTGCACTGTTTCAAAACTACCAAAAGCTCAGACTGCCCCCCCCCCTCCCCTTCCCACCACACACACGTACAGCTGTACAGGTATTAGCCACAACAAAACAAAAGAAAGAAATGGAAGAAGAGGAAGGTAAAAGGCGGAATGTGTATGATACTATGATGAGAAACTTACTTGCTGTAGTCATCGTGTGTATCAACACCAACAATGGACAACGCTGCTCTCAGTCCTAGTGTCAGACGTAGAATAGCGCCGTACAATAATGCAGACCTCCTACAAACACACAGGGAGAAGGGAGAGAGAGTGAGAGAGAGAGAGAAAAAAAAAAGAGAATTGAATAGAGAGAGAGAAAAAGAGACAAACAGAAAGAGATCATTTTTAGCTCCACGCCTACATATTACTGATGACAAAAAAACCATGGTTTTTCTGAAAAATCAGGCCAACTTCTCGCATCCGTAGGAAAGCCACAAATATAGCCCTGAATGATCAAGGCATCAGAAGACATGGCTTGTTCAAACACCCCTCGTCTAACAGACAGACAGACAGACAGAGAGAGAGACAGACAGACAGACAGACAAACACACACACAAAACACGTCAGACATGCTAGAGCTCACCGCATAGCATTGAGGTCTTTCTTGCCCAGGAACCATAATGCTTGTAAGCAACTACTGACATCTGAACAAAAGATACATACACACAGTGATAAGACATTGTGCTTACTCATTCGTGCATGCGTGAGTGCATGTGAGCACACACACAATGTCAAACTGTTGATCTGAAAAATATGTCGACGAAAGCTCAACAAATAAAGAAACACACACACACACACACACACACACACACACACACACACACACACCTGTCCTGTTGAGCCACTGTCACAAGGGTCACGTGGTTCCCCGAAGGGGCAGCAGAGGGACAGATACCTGATGTCGCCTCAGATACGGAATCAGACAGAATCAGCGCAAGCAGACAGACACACACACACGCACACACGTGCACGCACACACACAACCATAACCTTACTTATGACGGAGTGAAGACGATCCAGCAAACTATGCAATGCTGCAACGTCAGGACTGCATTCCGTTACTGCACAGCGCCTGGAGTACACATGCACACATACGCGTGGACACACACACCGACATCCACATACACACACCGACACACACACACACAGGAACACACACACCGACACACACACACACACACATACACACACACACACACACACATGCACACACGGACATACACACACACACGAACACACACATACACACACACACATCATTGGAGGCAATGATAGGAACACTGCAGCAGGAGCTATAGGAACTTGTGCAGGGATTGCACATGCACTATTCAACAGCTTTCCAGGCTGAAGAATTGATCCTGCCACTGTTTAGTCTTGTGTACAGCACACATCTAAACACATCCTACTGCCCTTGCTACTGCCCTTGGTACAATGTACTAGTAATGCACACATCCTACTGCCCTTCCTACTGCCCTCGCTACTTCCCTCGCTACTGCTCTCGCTACTGCCCTCGCTACTGCCCTTGCTACTGCCCTTGCTACTGCCCTTGTGTACAGCACACATCTAAACACATCCTACTGCCCTTGCTACTGCCCTTGCTACTGCCCTTGGTAGTGCCCTAGCTACTGCCCTTGCTACTGCCCTTGCTACTGCCCTTGTGTACAGCACACATCTAAACACATCCTACTGTCCTTGCTACTGCCCTTGCTACTGTCCTTGCTACTGCCCTTGCTACTGCCCTTGCTACTGCCCTAGCTACTGCCCTTGCTACTGCCCTTGCTACTGTCCTTGCTACTGCCCTTGCTACTGCCCTTGCTACTGCCCTTGCTACTGCCCTTGCTACTGCCCTTGCTACTGCCCTTGGTAGTGCCCTTGCTACTGCCCTAGCTACTGCCCTAGCTACTGCCCTTGCTACTGCCCTTGCTACTGCCCTTGCTACTGCCCTTGGTAGTGCCCTTGCTACTGCCCTAGCTACTGCCCTTGCTACTGCCCTTGCTACTGCCCTTGCTACTGCCCTTGCTACTGCCCTAGCTACTGCCCTTGCTACTGCCCTTGCTACTGCCCTAGCTACTGCCCTTGCTACTGCCCTTGCTACTGCCCTTGCTACTGCCCTTGCTACTGCCCTTGCTACTGCCCTTGCTACTGCCCTTGCTACTGCCCTTGCTACTGCCCTTGCTACTGCCCTTGCTACTGCCCTAGCTACTGCCCTTGCTACTGCCCTTGCTACTGCCCTTGCTACTGCCCTTGCTACTGCCCTTGCTACTGCCCTAGCTACTGCCCTAGCTACTGCCCTAGCTACTGCCCTTGGTAGTGCACGTGTGCAGGTTTAAATTTACTTTTGCACTGCACAGCTTTTTGAAGGGATCTTCCTGGCCACTAAACCCTAGATTGATTCATATCTGTTTCCCCTTTTTCGTCCCACACACACAGATATATCGCACCACATGCTCTGGCATGCACTGGCTACTGGTAACCACCGGGGAATCGCAGCATTGAGGGAGACAAGGCAGGCGACTGTAACGCTAACCGATGTGTGTTTCACTCTCAGGCTGCCCGTTACAGTCGCCAAGGCTTGGTGCAAGACTGATTCATACACACTCACATAATATTATGGCATGGCTTGCCTGAGCGGCGCTTAGGACGATGCATGACCATCATAGTCAGGAATAGAGGTCATACAAATGATGACATTCTGGTGAGTTGGCCGATGTGTGTATGGGTGATAACGCCGTAAAAGTATACTTTACAGTGTGAGTTGGCGGATCCACTTATGGGAGCATAGTGTACAGAGAGAGTCGGTGGGTTCACTTGGGTTAATGCATCGCTATGCTGCGGCAGAGCCAAAGCACTTCAAATTCACCGTGCAATCACATGACATCTCTTGAACCTGCAGCCTCTGATTGGAAACTGAGCGGACATACCACTGCTCCACATGGGGCATGTGTCCATTCACACACACGCAAGCATGCACAGACACACACACACACACGCACACACACACACGCACACACACACACATCTATCATCACTAACCGTATCACTGTTGGAGTTGAGTGTGTGGTGATAACACAGTCTGGAGATGGTAGACCATGCAGTACAGCATCCCTGGCCCTTGCCCCCACTGTCTCTGCTGCTACAGAATCTACAGTAGGTATAGGAGACTGAGACCTGGCATCATCATCATCACTACTAGTGTTGCCACTGCATGTCCAGCCAAGCCAAATACTGGAATTGGCCTCCGTATACAGACCCTGGATTTCGTCAATCTGCAGTCAGTGCATACACACACATACGCGCGCGCGCGCGCGCGCGCGCGCACACACACACACACACACACACAAGAACCCAATGCCCATGTCATGTTGATGCTGAGATCACAGTAATCAATAGTTTGAATGATTTGATGTATAAACTGCACTTGAGCAGAATACAGCTGTATACAGCTTCAGTGATCATGATTATACCATCCATCAACAGCTACAGGACTAGAGAGGTTAAGATGCACGTTATTTCTGCCGTGACGCGCAATTTCACGTCAAATTCGGCATAAAACTCCAAATTTCGACACGAGCTGCAGGTCACTCGCGTTGTTTTCCAAAGCGCGCGCCAAATAACGTGAGCTGAACTTAACCTCTCTATTATAGCTGCTTGACGCAGAGTTCTGAAGTTACACTATGAACAGCACGAATTCGAAATCTCCCAATACTTGTACATTGTATTGTACATCATTGCTATGATCCAAAAGATCATAATTTCTAGTGAACCCATGCCAGCGGGATGGTATGTATATTATACTTTGAGCCTGAGCCAGGCCAGGGAAAATCCCCAGCGCAAGAACCAAGCACGAGACTGTGCATATCATAACGCAGACAGACAGGGATATCATCAATTACCTCGGATTCGTGCAGACATTTCAGTTTGCGTAGCTGCCCGACGGGTATGCGAGCAAAAATAACCAGCATGTTGCCGTCAATGGAGGAGCTACATCAGTACAGTTCAGTGGGCAAGATGGTGGAAGGTACTACTTCAATCACATTGCTCGTATTGCGAGCTTTCATCTGTCATTTCCTGCATAATGTCCTCGAATGAAGTGATGATGATAATTATCGTCAATCTCTAGCTTTTTTGAAATTTTGGTTTTTATCGCGCGGAATGTTCTTTTCAGCGCAAAAGCTTGCCCAACACTACGATCGAGAGTACTAAAATACCGCTACTTTAGTACCTAACAACAGAAAGAATGTACGCAAAAAAATAAACAGCATGCAGTTTCTCTCTTTCAAGTCTTTGTCGACACCCGAACTCATCATTCATCGATTGTCTTGCCACATTGTAAAGTAGAGTAGAGCTACTTTTGTCTTTACATTGTATTTATTGCGTTGATAGCTCTGTTCCTTAATTTGAGCTCACTCTGCTGCTGTTGGAGTAGGCGACAGCAGCCACAACAACTAAAAATTCAGGTGAGAAAATACTTCGAATGAGGCAATTCTCACTCATTGAAACTTTCTCGTCACAACTTGAGGACTATCTAACATTTCCACTTCAAAAGGAGAAAAAATTGTCACACCTGCGTCTGTTACCAACTGTGAATATATTCCCCGGCGACCATCTGAAGGCTTTCTTTCTTCCATCATTCATGCAAAGTCTTTTGTTTGTTTGAGAATGCTAGTAAGATGTGATGTGAGCAGAGTTGCGAAAAGACATAATTCCTGCAAAGATTTAAACTCCTCATCTTGCCTGATGTTACCTAGTACATGTATTCAATCGTTCACTCTTTGAAGTTCGAAGCCTGCCTGTTGTGCACGTGCATGGCGTGGCGTGGCGATATGAACACCTTTCGAAGCCTGCTTGTTGTGCACGTGCATGGCGTGGCGATGTGAATTATCCTATAGCCAGTCAAATAATTATTTCCTTTGGTAGCCCTGGAGAGCTCAGCTGTGGGGGTATGCTGCACTGTGCAATGCACTGAACACTTAGCGGAGTTCCGCTACTCCGTCCAGTTGCATTGCAGGCGCATGCTTGGGGTGGTGGCGGATTGAAGAAATGGCGTTGTAGAAATCCCCGAACACTTGTACATGCATAGTGTATGACCAGCTGTGTCCGTGCAGATCAGTGAGGGGTGCCTGTGTGTGTGTGTGTGTGTGTGTGTGTGTGTGTGTGTGTGTGTGTGTGTGTGCGTGTGTATATGTGTGTGTGGTGTGTGTATGTGTGTTTGATTGTTTGCATTCAGGCAGTACACCAGATATCCTGTACCATAGCTGACACCTACTGAATGCAATGAGCTGTGGTGATCATGTGACGGTCATGTGACCTGTTCACCATCAATCACCGGTATCAGTACAGGCTATCAACTGGCTTGACCGTGTGCACATACGCAGACACGTGGACACGCGCACGTGTGTGCATGCGTAGACCTGACGTGGCCAAGCCGGTCGCTAGCAATACTTCACAGGCATGCAGTCCTCCTATGGTTGGCAGCAGGCTGGCAACGTGCCACAGCAGGCACAGGAATCACAGCAGGCACAGTACAGCAGCCATACAGTGGATTACAGTGGTGCACAGCAGTATGGCGTAGCACAGGGCTATGGCGCACCACAGCAACAACAGCAGCAACAACAGCAGCAGCAGCAACAACCGGAAGCTGCACCGTGGAACTCGGCCTGGGGTCAGTCGTGGCCAGCACAGCATTCTGGTGCTACTGCTGCTAGCTATCAGCAATATCCTCAAGCAACCACAACCACCGGTAGTGCTGCTGGTGGAGCGTCGCACTACAATCAAGACGCCGGCGCCAGCTGGCACAACGGTGTCCATGGCGCCGCCCCACATGCCCAGCAGGGCTCTGGTGGTCACGGCAATGCGGCAAACCCGATGACTCACCCAGCGACGTACCAATCAACAACAGCAGCAGCAGCAGGAGCCGATCAGCGGTCGTCGACGACATCTGCTGGCTATCCGCAATCTTACGCTGGGAATAGCTACGAACACCATCAGCATCATCAGCAGCAGCAGCAGCAGTCGTGGTCTCAGCCCGCTGCTACTCAACCCTACGCCGGTTCAGCATCTGCTACTGCTGGCAGCTTTGCTTCTAGTGATACCAGTAAAAGTTCTGAGCAGCATACACACGCTGCGTACCAGCACTCTTCCGCGGAAGCGTACCCGCCGTCAGCAGGTCCGCGGGACTCTGCCTATCGGCCGCCGCCAGCAGCAGAACAGCAGCAGCAGTGGTCACAGCCACCGACACAACAACAGCAGCAGCAACGTGGAGATGGCTATAGTGGACATGACGGCCAGCAGACATCCACTGGAACTGCCGCTGCTGCTGCGGTTGATCAAGATAACAGCGGTGGTGTGAGTGCATGGCGGGGCAAATCAAGATGGCCCAGTGATGCTGCTGCTGTTGATCATGATAACAACAGCGGTAGTACGAGTGCATGGCGGAGCAAATCCAGATGGTCCAGTGATGCTGCTGCTGCCCCATCAGCGCAGTCATCCGCTGCACACTCCGCAGCACCGTCATCTCAGTATTCCTATAATCAACCGGCTCATCATCACCAGCACCACCCGGCCAGTGGTTCAACAGGCTATCCTTCAGCTGCACCTTCTGCTGGTGGTGGTGGTAATTGGGCACGATCAGAGTTGGATACACGTGAACAGCAGCGTGCTCCAGCATCGTCGTCGTCGCAGCAGTACAGCCGAGGCAGCGGTGCGTCACGCTGGCATGCAGTAGACGGTGATACCAGTCACACAGCGCAACCGCCTCCGTCTTCCACCCGTACCACCAGCGGTGCAGCACCATCGTCTGCGTCGGCGGTAGATAACAGCGGTGGTCATACAGCAGAGTACCGTAACCATGGTGACGACGGTTACGCACACCGCACGCACGGCCAGCCATCCTCCGTGGCGACATCGCTGGACAGCAGCCACCGCTCTCAGCTATCCAGTGTACGATCGTCGCCAGCGTCAGCAGCCTATGATTACGAGTATGGCCACCAGCTACAGCAGCGTGACGTAACAGCATCGGCACGCACCGATCCCGGCCATCACGCATCGCCGCATCGACCACCACCGCCGGCTGCATCAGACCCGCCATCCGCGTCATCATCAACGCCGTGGCAACCAGTAATCCGTACCGAAGACTACCACCACAAAACACCAGCAGGTCCAGCAGCAGCAGCAGCAGCATCGCACTCACATGCAGCCAGTTCGCGGCCGCTGCCACCTGCTCATGATAGCGCGGAGGCACCACGAAGCCTTATGTCTGTGGAGGCGCGCGCACCTAGCCGCTATGATCGTCATGACGACACCAGGTATGCGGCCGTCGGCAGTGACCATGGTTACCGGGAACGGGAACGGCGCTCACCGCCGCCGCGTCGCTATGATGATTATCGCCGTGACGACTACGAGCGGTATCATCGCCACGACGACCGATCCCGTCACCCTGGCGGTGGGGGCTATTCAGGGTCCTCTGTGGACAGACCACCGCCACGTGATCATCGTGGTGGACACTGGGGGCCAACAACCGACGGTGGGCATCGTTACGATGGCCATCCGCATTCGCAGCCTCGCCATCCACCACCACCACCATCAGCCGGTGGACCATCATCACATGGTCACCACCACCATCATCACCATGGTGATGTTGATGCTCGCGGAGGTGGTGGTGCGGCGGATGGTTCTACCAAACCTCCCGTTGCTGTTCCCGCCCCACCTCCCGCCGAGACTGTACTCATCGAGAGTCTACTGGACGGTGAGGAGGCACGGTCCGCTCGGCCGGCTAACATCGTTGTCATCCTGCGCGGTCTGCCCGGCTCGGGCAAGACACACGCGGCCAAGAAGCTGCGGGATCGCGAGGTGGCCAACGGAGGTGAGGCGCCACGTATCCTATCGCTTGACGACTACTTCATGACGGAGACGGAGGTGACGGAGAAGGATCCGGACACCGGCCGACGCGTCAAGGTCAAGCGCGAAGAGTACGACTACGACGAGGCGGCGGAACCGGCGTGCCGTGCGTCCATGCTGAAAGCGTTTAGCCGCACCCTGGACGACGGCCTCTTCAAGATGATCCTGCTCGACTGCGTCAATCAAAAGGTGGCGCACTTTGAGCAGTTCTGGCTGGCAGCTAAGCTGAAAGGTTTTGAAGTGTACATCGCCGACCTGGAGGAGCCGGTGGAGCTGTGTGCCGATCGCAACGTTCATCAGCGCACACTCGACGACATTCGGGCACTGCACGACGCCTGGGAATCCACGCCGGCCAATTTCAAGCGCCTGGACGTTAGCGGCCTGTACCGTGAAGCTATAGCCGAGGTGGAGATGGCTGATGACACTGACAACGATGATGACGTGTCCGCCACACAAACAACAACAGATAATGTTAGCAATGAGAAATCTATACCGGCCAATGATGACGATGATAGTGATGGCTCGGAGCAGACGGCAGCCGCTACTATCAAACAAGGTCATGGTGATGAAGACGACGATGATGGCGACGACGACAATGGATCATCTGCGGCAGCGCTGCATCCGGTGCGAAGTCGTTGGGAGTCGTCGTCTGGTGGTGGCGGTGGCGGCGGAGATCGGCTTGACCGTCTCGACGGTCTCAGATCGAGTGGCGATGCGTCGTCGTCGTCAGCTGCACAATCCATCGCTGATTGGACGGGTTTGACTGACAGAGCTAGTAGTAATGCAGAAGACGGGGCAGAGGCTACTGACGGCGGTGACGTTGTCATCCGCAAGAAGAATTCGCGAGGGTATCGTATCCGCTGGGCGGACCTTGAAGAAGAGAAAGAGCGGGCACGCAAGCGTAACATTGGCTACCATCCCGGAGCCAGCTGGAAAGACCTGGTGCCAAGCGAGGACGTTGAGAAATACTTAGCTGGTGATTCGTAGCTTTCGTCTGTGTGTGTGTGTGTGTGTGTGTGTGTGCGCGTGTGTGTGTGTGCCAGTGTCTCTATGTTTGTACATGTTTCTATACAAAATCTCTCGCTTGCCCGCGCTCTCCCATCTACAAATGTCCCCCGGGCCGCTGGGCACATCCTGTGTATGTAGTGCTAATGCGCCGGCTGTTGTGCTGGTGCTTTGTTTTCTCTTTCGCCAAGACTACTCATTCTGTTAACATTCTGTTTGGTTGACAATCTCTCTCTACATGAACAGCATTGCTTCTCACATTTACACATTTCACTAAAGTTCTGAGCGCGTCCTGTTCATATTTCCGGTTTACCTAGAGTTGACCTAGAGTTGACCTAGAGTAGAGAGTAGAGTTGGCTGATTGCACACAGTACTCATGAGGTGCTAGATTATTTATGTTTGCTCGCAGCAGCAGCAACAAAATTAATGATGACAGCTCTGTGAACCACTACATACTACTTGTAGAGGCCCCCCTCCATCCCCTACTCCAGGAATTTGCGTTTGCATGGCACTGACTGTGTGCTTGACAGTTTGTTCTGGAGTCGTCCAAACTGAGATTGTAGAGGGATGTGGAATGAGGAAAGGAGTGAAGTACATTATGTTACTTGTATAGAACCAGGCCCGATAGTGGATCTTGCATACCCGATGCATCACTGCACTGCAAGCGATATCGCATGCACGTGTACGTGTACACAAGACTACATGTACCGGCAAGAGTAAAATAAGTTCCCATGGATATACTCTTGATGCCGGTACATGAGGTGTGCGACCACATCCCCATGCTCACATTGGCATCCAGTTTACACGGGTCGACAGGCTCATCCAATCTTTACAATGCCCCGATAAAAGCCAGGGGAGAAAATAGAAATCTGAATCTGGAATTAAAATATGCTAAAAATAAATGAAGTACATGTACAAAAGAGGATAAGAACGCTAGATACGATCAAAAGTCAAAATTAAACATAAACAGGGAAAAGTGTGCGGACTCCGAGGCCAGGGAACTCTCTTCTGTCAAGTCCCCAGAACGGGCAGGGCACAGTACGGTGTGTGTGTGTGTGTGTGGCGGAGGTGCAGAGAATGGTGCAAACAGGGAAACAGTGCAAGATATAAAAGAGTCCAAATTTCTCTAAAAAAAACCTTTAAAATTGAGACATTGTACTAGTAGACGAGTATGAGTTACTCGTACAAGTTCAGTGTGCCATACACGTCCACAAGTAGAAAACTCTATCCTAAAATAACTACTATAATAATATATGTAGTAAGGCTTCAGCGCAGACATAACAAGACAGACTGCCATAAGTGGAACACGTGTACGCGTGTGTTTGGTATGTCACTGTGGTTCATGCCTGCACACCAGGTATGTGCTTGACATTGCACAGCTACTAACCCTAACCTCCAACATACCGTCCTGCACTATCACACCGTCCTGCACTATCACACCGTGTCCTGCATAATCACACCGTGTCCTGCATAATCACACCGTGTCCTGCATTATCACACAGGGTCACAACCAGGGAGTAGTACAATACCGGTATTGTACTACTCCCTGGTCACAAGCATGAACTTACAGTGCAGCACAGAGGCAGCAAACAAACCATGATAGACAGAAACAAACCATGACAGACAAATACCCCGTTGTGGTGGAATAGACCATTGGGCCTATCACCTGGGACAACAGAAAACTGGGGTATGGTACCAAAATCAATGTGAGTCTGGCACAATACCCCGGGGTGAAAAAGCCCAGGACATAAATAAAAAAGATGCAAATGCCCCAGGTCCGGGCAATAACCTCCGGGTCAATAAACCCGGGAAGGGGCGCAATAGCAGTTCCAGAAGTACGACAACGAGCAAAACATCAGAAGGAACGGTGTACCGTTGTGAGTATCCACTGTGTGCCTCACAACTTGGCCTTGGGAACACGGTACTTCTGGTAATCAATTCCCTTCTGGACGGTGACACGCATCACTTGGCCGGAGTCGGGACGTTCGTCCAGCAGCTGAATAAAACCCTCGGCGATACGTTCCGGCCTGCAGATGGAGAGGACAGACGGACAGACGGACAGACGGAAATGCACATACTCGAACATGTCTAAAGCACAGTCATACACATTCTAGGGAGTCGTCGCCAAAGTTTCTTATCGTCCATGAAACAAACATCGTTCTTTGGGGGGGGGGGGGGGGGGGGACGGTACACATGCACATGCACACATGCACGGTATTTTACGACTGCATGATGATGATGATGATGATTTTTTTTTTTTTTTTTTTGATGATGATGATGATCATGATGCCCCAGCTCTCTCTTGTGGTGTGGATGGTGCAAGTCTACAGTCGCGGCCTCCGGTTGTTCATTCTGTCTCTCGGGATTTGGCGCCTCCTCTCACCGTGGCAAGTGCTTTTGATGCCTCTGTTATTAGCAGCCAGGAGGGTGATGGCGGCTCTAGTGAGAATGCCTCCGGCTCTAGTGAGAATGCCTCCGGCTCTAGTGAGAATGGCGAGGAGGGTGATGAGTGCTCCCCACACCTTGCCACGGTTAATCGAAGTGCCACCCTACCCTCTGGTCCTGGAGAGGATACCCGGCTCCTGGCTGATCTCGGTGGCAGCCAGCCAAGCAGTGTGCTTGACAGCTCCGAGGATTATGGAATGAATACGGAGCACCGCGCTGGTGGCGGCCAGGTGGATGTGGAATCAACCGCTCAGGCACGGTTGAGGCCTATCCCCAGCCCAGCGGATGCCGGTAGTGGAGTTGCGAGCGTAGCCAGTGATCCGTTTTCCGCGAGAATCATTGATGCCTACGAGGTCGTGGTAGGCTGGAGACGCAATCTGTTCATTATACCCCATGGATCCGCTGGTGCAGCCTTTGTTGACGAGCTCGCATCTTTGATCCTTGGGTTTGCGGATGACTCCGGTAAAAGAGATGTCGCATGGAGAGCTGTGTGCGTTACTTGTCACCTTCTCTTGCAAAAACCACACAAATCCAAGATCATGAAAAACCATAGTGAGCATCTTCGCAGACGTCTCGTGCTGTGGAGAGATTGCGACATTCCACAGTTACTGAGCGAGTGCCTTTGTATCCAGGCGCACTTGCCGGCGTCGGGCGGAGGCTCTCCCAGGCCCGCCTCACAGGAGAAGAGTGACGTGGTGTTCGCTAATCTCGTTTTCAATGGAAAGATTTCTTCTGCTGTTCGCTACCTGGCGCCAAACGCTTCTGGTGGAGTCCTTTCCATGAACGACATTGTGGATGATACCACGGGAGAGACGGTCCGTGACGCCCTGTTGAAGAAACATCCGCCATCTGTTACACCGCCTGCCTCGGCTCTCTTGCCGGGTGATCCCGAGATTGTCAACCAGGTCATCTTTCAACAAATAACCCCTGAGCTAATAAAGAAAATCGGCCGAGGCATGCAGGGTTCCTCTGGACCGTCTGGCCTGGACGCTGAGGCGTGGTGCCGAATGCTGACGTGCTATGACGCCTCGTCAAGGCGTTTGTGTTCATCCCTTGCTGCCGCGGGGAGGTGCATATGTACCGAGCGCCTTGCCGGTTGCGCGATGATTGGATTTACATCCGCTCGCTTAATACCCCTCGATAAGAAACCTGGCGTGCGCCCCATCGCTGTGGGCGAAGTGTACCGGCGTATCATTGGTCGTGCCGTGATGTCAGTAGTGGAAAGTGATGTGCTGAGTGTAACAGCTCCTGTCCAACTCTGTGTGGGCGTTCCATCTGCCTGCGAAGCCGCCGTACACACAATGTCCCGTCTGTTCGCTGGCCCGGGGGTTGAGGGTGTCTTGCTTGTGGACGCCTCCAATGCATTTAATGCATTGAATAGGCAGGCTGCGCTACACAACATTCCGCGTCTCTGCCCCCCGCTTGCAACGGTGTTTCGTAACACGTATGGATCAGTTTCCCGCCTGTTTGTGTCTGGTGGAGGTGAAATCGAATCGCGTGAAGGCACGGCTCAGGGCGACCCACTGGCTATGGCAGCCTATGCTGTGGCGATCATGCCACTGGTCAGGCGCCTGGCTGCGACATGCCCCAGTGTTGTCCAATCTTGGTTCGCGGATGATGACTCGGGTGCAGGTCTTCTGGCTCGCCTTCGGAATTACTGGGATGAACTCCGGGCCATTGGCCCTGGTTATGGTTACTACCCGAACGCGTCCGAAACTGTTCTGATCACAAAGCCAGAGCATTTGGATAGGGCCAGAGAAATCTTCTTCGACAGTGGCATCCAGATTACCGCCGCTGGCGGCCGATTCCTCGGGGGCGCCCTAGGGTCAGAAGATTTCTGCCGCTCTTATATGGGGCAGTTGGCAGATAGATGGGCTGGTGACCTGCGCACCTTGTGTGAGATCGCCCAGACTCAACCTCATGCGGCGTATACCGTCTTCTCCAAGGCCCTGTCATCACGGTGGACTTACCACTTGCGCTCAATGCCGTTCTCGACAGGCGTTTTGGAGGCCTTGGATGATATCCTCAGTGACCATTTCCTGCCGGCTTTGCTGGGTCATGGAATTGTGCGGGCCAGCCACCAACGTCGGCTAATGGCTTTGCCTGTCCGGCATGGGGGCCTCGCCGCGGCTGGGGAACATCAGGCCTTTGTCAGTGCCACTGATCCTCTGGTTCAGCTTTGCGCTATCATCGCCTTCGCCTGACTGTGCTGGTGCGTCACTGCCTCCGCCTGCGGGACCGCCTCTGCGTGATATTAACCAACCACCTATGGGACCACCCCCGCATCATTGTGCTAATATGTCACCGCCTTTGCCTGCCTGTGCTGATGCGTCGCTGCCTCGGCCTCCGCGGCCGCCTCCGCCTGACTGTGCTGGTGCGTCGCTGCCTCCACCTGTGGGACGGCCCCTACCTGGCTTAGACCAACCACCGGTGCGACTGCCTTCGCCTGACCGTGCTGCCGTGTCACTGCCTCCGCATGCGGAACCGCCTCTGCCTGACTGTGCTCGTGCGTCGCTGCCTCCGCCTGGTCTAGACCAGCCACATGTGCGACCGCCTCCGCCTGATTATGCTGGCGCGTTGTCGCCTCCACCTGCGGGTCCGCCTCCGCCTGATCTTGACCAACTACCTGATGCCGGATCGTTCTCTGCGCTGCGTGCGGAGCCTGTTGCCGTGGGATTGGGCGTCGAAGAGCCTGGCGAGACTAATCCTAGTGGTCCGTGTGGTGTCGCTGAGGCTGTTGCTGCGGTGCGTGCTGGGCTGCGCCGGGTGAGAGCACAGCGGGACCAGATTTCGCGTGGTGTGCAGGCAGAGATTGGCCCTGGACTGTCTCCGTGCCAGCGGCTACTGTTAGAAACAGCGGGTGAGAAAGGCACCTCCAGCTGGCTGACCGCCCAACCGTCATACAATCAGCCAGTAACCATACTCAATAAATCTGATTTCCGGGATGCTCTCTGCTTCCGATACGGTTTGGAGCTGGATGGCCTCCCTGAGACTTGTGTTTGTGGAGCAACTCTAACCAATGAGCATGCAATGGCTTGTCCTACTGGCGGCTACACCATCGCACGCCATAATGATGTTCGCGATTTGCTGGCGGCTGTACTGTCGGAGGTATTGCCTGACGTGGAGGTGGAGCCGGTGCTAGCGCCATTTGCTGGGGAGGATCTTCCCCATCGTACAGCCAACAGGAAATCCGAAGCTCGCCTCGATGTGAGGGCGCGGGGTTTCTGGTCCAGGCAGCAGGAGGCTTTTTTTGATGTTCGGGTGACTCACCCAAAGCCAAACCTGCTGTCGCGTCCAGAAGTCCAGCGCCATCTCCAAAAGCATGAAGGCATGAAAAAGCGGGAATACGAAGCGCGTGTTGTGAATATAGACCGAGGCACGTTCACCCCGTTGGTTTTCGCCACGAATGGCATGTGTGGCCGGGAGGCAGACCGCTTTCTCAAGTGTCTTGCAGCCCAGTATGTCGATAAACACAGTGACTTGGCCTACTCGCTGGTTATGGGTCGATTGCGGTGCCTGCTCTCGTTCACTTTACTCCGTTGGGCAGTGACCTGTTTTCGTGGCTGCCGTAGCTCCTACCAGAAAAAGTCAGTCAAGAATTTCAGGAGTTATTGTTTGATGGGTCGTTAGATAGAGGCCGGTGTTTGTGAGACTGCAATCATTTAATGTTTCTTCCTTAGTGGTGTAGGTAGATTCTGTTTTGTAAGCATAGTAGGACTACTTTTGTTTTGTAAGTCAATCTCATTCTCCACGCTTTGCTGTCATTTGGTTATGTTTTAAAGTAGTTTTTATGACCTGATGTTTGTTTTTTATATTTGTAGTTCTATTGTTGACATCTTTTGTCTTTTCTTTGGGTTAAAAGGTTAACTTCATCCTCGTTTTCTTATTGCCTTGTATTGGAATTTGCCCATAAAAGTGGCTACGGTGTGATAATGCATTTTTATCTTTCGTGTTTTAACATTATTTTCAGAAAATTGCTCTTACAATACCTTGCGTTTTATATTCATAATATTGTTGCCCGTAAAAGCGGCTTGGTCATATGATGATGATGATGATGATGATGATGATGATGATGATGATGATGATGATGATGATGATGATGATGACGTTTTGCCTCTTGAGGTGGGCCATTACGTGTTTTCGTGGTTGCCGAGGGTCTTATAACAGACGGCGGGTGAATTCCTTTGTGGCCCAGTGTCGTTTGGCCGCATAGTGAATTTTTATGCTATGCCTCTCAACAATATCACTATGGATAACATCACATTTTTTAAATAACTATTTGGTAAAGTAACATCATCTGTCATTCAATATCTATCTGGTGAAATAATCAGCATTTGAATATCTATTTGGTACTAATCATTCAACTGTTAAATGTCATATTTTACCTGAATATCTATCACGATTTTTGCACATAATCTCGGTTATCACCGTTTCAAGCCCGTACAAGAGGCCGTTTCCAATGATGATGATGATGATGATGATGATGATGATGATGATGATGATGATGATGATGATGATGATGATGATGACATACGTGAATACTACAGTACTATGTGGTCAAGTGATGCGTGTGGGTTGTGCATACCGGTCATTACGTTCCTCTGCGTGGGTTGTATCAACTTGTAAGCGCTACTGACACGCATGCAGGCCTGAAATGTATTGTACTCGTATATGTACTTGTACGCTTGGTATGCATGTACATGCAGGACTGACTGACACACACACTACTATACTATTCTACAGGCTGGCTTGCTGTCGTCATGTTGCCGTATTCGATTTCAGTTTGGTTGTCCTCATGAATAATAGACAGTGCTGCCCAATGAGATCCAGTCACGTCACTCAAGTACGCACCGGGCGTAGCGCAGCCTTAGACACCTGCGAACGCTGGGCTGCGAAATGGCGCAAACTTGAGGGACACGACTGGATTTCATTGATCAGCACTAGACTATAAGATGGTGAACACGACAAGAGTATTTAACGAGCAGCAACTTACGTCAGTACTCCACGGGCTTGCACGATATCAGAGAATGCTTCATTTTCCATTCCAGACTTGAGCATGTCTGTCTGGACGAATCCTGGACAGATGGCGTAGACGCTCACGCCGTACTGAGCCGGCCAAAACTATGCACAGACAGCAGTGTAGAACAGTCGCCGCCGACCATACACACACACACACACACACACACACACACACATACACACACACACATACACACACACATACACACACACATACACACACACACACACGTACATACATGTACACACACACGTGTACAACGCACAACAGCACCATGTTCTGCATCTGTTGGTAGCGCGCGGTGTGTGCTGCAAGCCAGAGCAATGTAGTAGTAATTTGGCTAATAACGACTGCGGATATAACGACAATCCGTGAATAACGACATAATTTTCATGCCCAGAGCAAAGTCCCTTCCAACTGTGACACATATAATGAGACTTCGGGTATAACGACACTTCGCGAGTAAGGACACTTTTCTGATGCCCCGCCGAGTGTCGTTATAAGCGAAGTTGACTGTACGTACAAACGAAGGATAGCGTGTGTGCAATACGAATATCTGCCATGATCATGCTGGGGATTTGCATACCCGCAGTGAGTTTCTGTCAGAGAATGCATTGTAAATACATACACAAGCACGTATGGACACACACACACACACACACACACACACACACACACACACACCCGTACCTCCGTTGCACGTGTAAAGCCAATGACTCCATGCTTCGATGCAGAGTACGTTGGACTAAACGGCATAGCTTGAAGACCTGCGGAAAGGTTAAACGGAAATACCAGCGACGACAACAATCACATTAAGAACACACACGAACACACACATACACACACGAACACAGCTCCAGTTGGGTGTCCCCTATGCCACATCCCAACACCTGAGTGCACGGTATGCACACTCGCCGGTGCGCATCTCGTGCATGCATTCTAATAATAATAATAATAATAATAATAATGACAGTTCGCATTTCACTCATTGCATGAGGTCAACGCATCTGTTAACAATTTCGAGCCAAGCAGCTCTATCAGAAGCAGATTGCACAGCATCCAGAAGCGACAGATTAATGCATTGTAAGTCTTTCTTGACAACGTCGATCCATCTCAGACGTGGCCGTCCTCGGGGTCGTCGTATGTCTGTTGTGTTGATCGACATTAGGAGGGCTTGGAAAGAGGACGATTCTTCGCCTTCCCTCACTACATGGCCGAACCACAGCAGTCTCCGTTGCCTGCAGACTTGGGATAGTGGGGTCTGCTCGGTTCTGGCATACAGCGCTGTGTTCGAGATTCGTTGTGGGTACGTGATACCAATGATGGTACGTAGTTTCTTCCGGTGCCATACATTGACGACGTCGGTTAATGTTTGCGATAAGGTCCAAAGCGCACAATTATACAGCAAGACAGGCAATATCAGGCAGGAAAACATACACAGCCTGGAATTCATTCTAAACTTTATACAAAATCAAGTACAGTTGGAAAGTGGCAGCATGCGCCCGGCAACACCTCCCACTGGAAATACACAAATTTTCGGCACTGCAAAAATTACACCATTTCATGATTTTCTCAGCGTTTTAATTGCGGCGTTTCAGATCGGTGCCGAATATAGCCGGAAAAATAAATTGCTGACGAATTACTGTATATTTACAGAATACAAATTGTCACTTCCAGGGCGTTGAACGCTTGCGCGCTGCCCAAGCCCCGACTTCCTAAGTGCTAAACATGAACTTCTGGTTGGACTATACCTACAGGAACTATGCATGTGCCTACACACATTGTAATGGACCACTAGTAATGGACAGAGAGAGAATGTGTGTGCGAAATTGTGTGTGTGTGTGTGTGTGACCAGCCGCCGGCCCCTGCTCCTCTTGTTGTTCCGGGTGTAACTTGCACAACCTGTCAGCGTTCGTTTAAATCGGCTGCGGGTCTCAAGCGTCACCGTTGTGGAACCTGTCCAAAGCGCCCCACCATGGCTGAACGCCAGCAATTCAAGTTTCACTGCCATGTTTGCCACAACCGACGGTTCCGGAGGCGGCAAGATCCGGATCGCCACTTGGAGCATTGCCTTCCTCCCCCCTAATCTCTCTGACAGTACCTCCCATCTGGGAGCGGCGTGGCCAATTCTGGCAGCTGTCAATAGTAGTAGTAGTAGTAGTGTGTGTGTGTGTGTGTGTGTGTGTGTGTGTGTGTGTGTGTGTGTGTGTGTGTGTGTGTGTGTGTGTGTGTGTGTGTGTGTGTGTGTGTGTGTGTGTGTGTGTGTGTGTGTGCCTTGCAAGCTGTTGAATGGTGCAATCCCAGCACAAATTGCTATGGCTTCTGCTGTAGCATCGCTATCATCGCCTCCAGCAATGGGCGTTAGAGAATGGTCAAATGGTGTGTATGTGTGTGTGTGTGTGTGTCTGCATGCGTGTGTGCATGCAGAAGTGTGTGTGCGTGCATGTACATGTACGAGAGAGTGCACACAAACTCACCACCCATGGAGGCAATGTTGACCACAACACCACCACTGCCACCCTTCTCTGAGCTCATGTAGTACTTCGCCAAATATGTAGAGTCGATCAGCGCGGTCTGAAAACACCATAGCAACACCATAGCAACAACCCAGGAAAATGGACTGCGTACAAATACACACACACACACACACACACACACACGTGCACGAATACCAGGGTGCACACAAGCAGACACAACTACCAGAGTGCACATACACATACATGTGTTGCGGATACGCCACTAACCACTGACCACTAACCACTGACCACTGACCACTGACCACTGACCACTGACCACTAACCACTGTGGTCTACTGTTGGCTCACGACATTCCTAGCCCTTTGAGGACCGAGGACGAGTTAACTCGTCCAAACAATGTACGCTGTTTTCCCGAGGACGAGTATACTCGTCCTGGCAGTGCATACACTTGCACGCGTCAGCGTGTGCCCTGGCGGGAATACGTGGAATCAGTAGTGGCCCTGAAAAGGCTAGAAAAGGCAGTCGGCGAGGAGCATTGCTTACATTACCCGCATGCTGAGTCGTTCGAAAGTGCCTTCACACCCACAAACCACATGCGTTTGTGAGAGATGAGTAGGAGCAAGGGGCTGGGAAGTGAACGAGGAGGGGATTCCCCCTCTTACCAGATTAATGGCGACAGTCTTGCGCCACCAGTCCGGGGCAGAGTTCTCCACTTCATAGCCGACACCAGCGTTGTTTACGACCACATCCAGGCGAGAGAACTTACGCAGTGTCAAGCGGTACATTTCTACGAGAGAACAAGGGAGAGAGAGAGGGAGAGAGAGAGAGAGAGAGAGAGAGAGAGAGAGAGAGAGAGAGAGAGAGAGAGAGAGAGAGAGGAGGCAGTCAGGATAAATTGAGATTAGGTAGGAGAGAATGCAGTAAGAATGTCTGACGTCTCCGATCAAAGGACAAGACATGCACACGCACATGACCATTTGACGCCCATCGCCGGAGACGATTATAGCGATGCAACAGCAGAAGCCATAGGAACTTGTGCTGGGATTGCACCATTCGACAGCTTGCAAGGCTGAAGAATTGATGCTCACTATTCAGCCTGGTCTACACCACGCAGCTACGAAGTGGCTTTTTTGGCCAGTGAATCACACGCACATACACACACGTACACACACGTATAGAGGACTTTCCATTACATCACCTTTTTGGCGCCTTCCCGGTGTCCACCCAAAGATCACCCATAAGACAAGTCCGTGTCCTACGGTAAAATGTGCTTGGGTGGCAAAAAGAGAATCAAATGTGTTGTTCGGTGTACGGTTCAAATGATGTTGCAGGCCGGCCGTCGCAGTGGTGAAGCACTTTTGCTTTTCTTTGATGTGGTGAATAGTTTCGGTAAGTCGCGAGGATTACTAGCCGCAGTTACTCTACTGTTTATTCCAGCCTTGAAGAGGCGTTGCCGCGAGAAGATTGACAGAATCCGTGGGCCCAGCACATTGATCCATATTTACCCATATTTACCTATGGACGAAGACCTTTCAGCCAATCCCCCTGCGTTGGGTATCCAGGCCTCTCTAAATATTTAGTGAATGTCCCCAGCGCACATGCAAAGGACTCTCTAAAGTCTTACAATAGCCCTGATGGATACAAATGCATGTGTCTCATTGCTGGCTGGGTTGGCACATTATCGTGTCTTGCCCAATCGAATGAAGAAGCAACAACTGTCAACAAAATTCGCTTGCAAACGTCAGGCACTCGTGGAGTGTTTTTGCCGAACCTGTCCATCCTTGGGTAGCTGCTGAATTATCTGGAATTGTTTTTGGCGCACACTGCACTTGCATGGTGGGCCTGGGAGAAGCATGCTCCCATGTTGCTGCAGTGCAGTGTTGTTTTGACTGAATTTACGTTGGAGACTGAAATGTGATGTGTGCTGAATGTCAACACCTACACCACTGGGTCACTCACCAGTGGCTGGCACCGTCAATGAACACTACACGAAAATAGTGTACATGGATTTTACTTCAGCTGGGCAGAAATTGGAGCACCGTGCCCATAACCTACAAGTAGTCTCACTTCTCTCCTCTCCTCTCTCTCTCTCTCTCTCTCTCTCTCTCTCTCTCTCTCTCTCTCTCTCTCTCTCTCTCTCTCTCTCTCTCTATCTCTCTCTCTCTCTCTCTCTCTCTCTCTCTCTCTCTCTCTCTCTCTCTCTCTCTCTCTCTCTCTCTTGCTTTGCATGCCTGTCAGTGTATCCATGTGTGTGTGTGTGTGTGTGCATGCGTGTGTGGGTTTTTCTTCCTTATCAGTACGAATATGACAATGTTGACATGTGGTGGCTGGTAGCACGAAAGCTGACAAAGTCAAACACAGCCATCATCATCATTGCTCCTATGTAGCCAAAAGCTGGTGTAGTGGCGAACTTAGTTGTCCTGATCTTAAAACACGCTGATGAATGCACATCCAATACAGCAATTGTTTTTTCCTGGTCGTCCCTCGACCTGGCATTCTCCATAAGCAGTTGCTGATTACCGGTAGAGTGTCCTCCATTACTGCCTTTGCAAGAGTTACAGAAGAAGTAAGATCAAGATGATCCTCACCACAAGAAGATCAAGAAGCTGAATACATGTACCTAATTGACCAGAAAGACAGAAGATGAGGTATACTAGTATTTGCCGCAGCAAATGAAGAACTGCACAGCGCAGCAACCAAGTGGAAAGCAGAAGAAGATTGCGCAAGTAGGTCGATCAGAGTATTTTATCCATGACAAAGGAAATACACATTGTGCAGAACATGAGGCATACACCATGACTCGCATGGAAGAGATGATGAGTTGCACCCAGGGCCAGTACTAGAATAGCTAGCACCACCAGTCATGTAGAGGTACGTGCATAATAGAGCTGGGTACATTAGTCATTACCATCAGCATCAGTACTATCAATCATCAAACTCCAGCTATACCTTGCACCCCAACAAACTAAGTAAGTTGATAGTGTTCGGAATCATCTTCGTGTTTCCGCCTTCACTGGTGCTGCTACAAATGAGCTGAACAATTTAGTTGGTTAGTTAGTTCGATACGTACTGGGGTGACAGGGGATGATCATGACTTTTCTCTTCGCCAACGAAGTGATGGAACAATATTCGTATACTTCGAAGTACTTGCATAAGGAGCGAAGTTCTCGAGTCGTGTGTCCGTCATCCACTGGTTCCGTCGTTCTCCATCGTTGGGAAAACGATAACAACTCAAAGACGATCCAGGTGTGGGAACATCCGATCGCGAGCAGCCCTTTGGTATTCTCAAACTACAGTATGCAAAATGGAACTGCTTTCGAAAAACACTATTTCCTTCCAGTGCAGTCTTCTTTTTTTGCCACCCAAGCTCCGTTTCAAGTCCCGTGATCGGTGGTGAACTCGATGATCTTTGGCCCGAATCCTCATAGGCCGCACGGTATGACTCATTGGAAAGTCCTCTATAGACACACATGCACATACACACACGTACACACACGTACACACACATACACACACGTACACACAGGTATAGACACACACACGCCTGTGCGTGCCCTCGTAACGTACCATCAAGCTGATCGTGGTCGGTGACGTCCACTTGTGTGAACGCTACGTTGGCCTTTCCAAATTTGCTCTGCAGTTCTGAACATGTGTCACTTCCCACAGTCGGCTGGAGATCTCCAATCATCACCTAAATAGTCACATGATAAGGGAGATAACAGTCACATGACCAGTCACATGACCAGTCACATGACCAGTCACATGACCAGTCACATGATCAGTCACATGACCAGTCACATGATAAGTCACATGATCAGTCACATGATAATATCATATACTGTAAACTGCCTAATATTCGCGACGGATTAATGTTCGCTATTTTCGCGAGAAGAGCGTAACGCAAATATTAACCACCGTGAAATCTAACTTCAACAGTGGGTGTATGTAAGTGGCCCCCAGTGCTTCGCGAACTTTTGCCATCGCAAACTTGCTGGTTCTAAGAAATCGCGAAAATTTAGTGACGCGAATATTGGGCGGTTTACAGTACTGTAATTTCACAAATTTTTAGTGTACTTTTATTTTCGGTACTTTCGGTGCGTCTGTTTCATACCTAAAATTTCAATACACCAAACTAACACTAACACACATAATCCAATAGGGAACTGCTTCTCTGTACAGAAAAGTTAGGTGCTTAGAAGCAGTTCCCTATTGGATTATGTGTGTTAGTGTTAGTTCGGTGTATTGAAATTTTAGGTATGAAACAGACGCACCGAAAGTACCCGAAATATAAGTACACTAAAAATTTGTGAAATTACAGTACACAGAAACAAATTGGGAACACTTTCCGTTTGTATTCCGTTAGCACCACCAAGAGGAGTAGATAACCCAAAAAAAGATTGGGCCACTCCAGGTTCCTTCTTGCTACACGCTGAACAGTCCGTGACAGCGGCACGGCATTGTTCGTGTCGCCACAACGCCCTGCAACCGTCGTGAACCATGACACCAACAAAATTTGACTTGATGGTGGCCCATCAGAGAATGGAAGCACATAGCACACTTTGTCGGAGGACACAGAGACACAGAGAATGACTACAAATCTGTCTCCGGGGAAAATTGCGATTCCGCGGCCGCGTTTTTTTCCCGTGTTTTTTGCGATTTTTTAAAAGACCGCGTTTCCCGCGATTTTCCCGCGTTTTTTGAACTTTTTTGTTGCACTACACGTACACACAGTGCACTGTTCGGTCAGCAACGTCTCATCGTGGCGGCTTTTTACTCAAATATGACGAGTGCTTACACCAGAGACTTGTAACTGATTGATTTCACTACATACTCACTGAAAATTGCCGCACATCAATATTATTCACCGCATATTTACCGCAAATTCACCGCAAATTATGCCATATTACGCCGCGTTTTCCCCGCGTTTTTTTCCGATTTTTTCCGCAATTTTCCCCGGGGACAGACAAATGTACATGAACATACACCGGCAGAACGAGAAAGGGCAAGGCTACAGTCAACGTTGCGTATAACGACACTCGGCGGGGCATTAGAAAAGTGTCCCGATTCGCGAAGTGTCCTTATACCCGAAGTCTCGTTGTATGTATAACAGTTACAGAAAAAGCCATTATTCTAACGACGCGCCGCATATATATATAAATAATTATAACGATTTCCCAAAATTGACCAGTTTACGTGTACCAAAAGTAACGATTCTCACTCATTCTCAACGCTCAATAGGACAGTATATGTATCGATTTCTGTATAACGATTTCTATTTTAACGACAGATTTCTCCTCGTTAACTCGTTAGAGATAGCACTTCGTTATATATATAAAATTATATGGCCTTTATAGTAGATGGGACTTTGCTCTGGTTACGGAAGCGAATTGTCGTTATATCCGCAGTCGTTATTACTAATATCAGCGAAGTTGCCTGTAGTTTGCTACTGGCTATGCCGGCGATGTGTATGCTAGGAGAAACTTTATTGGTGGTTTTTGGTGTGCTGCTATGCTATGCACTGGGTGTGGATTTGTGACCGTACCTTGCCGCCTCGTTGCAGGAACGCCACAGAGAATGCCTTGCCAATGCCCTGCGCTCCACCGGTAATGATGGCTACCTTGCGACTCAGGTCCTGGCGGACGATTCCAGCCATCATGCTCGAATATAGGATCAGAATGTCAACTCCACAAATGTTCAGCAATGTACAATGCACTGCTCTTGTAGAGTCCTTGCGTCAATACGGAAATTTGTCTCTTCACCGCCGCCTGGAGTCAGTATGCAAAATGAATTATTGACTAGAACTAGCAGCTAAGAATCCAACGCAATGCCAATGGATGGCCATGCAGTTATTTTTCTACGGGTGGTGAAGATTTGAGGCTCAGCGGCACGCACACACAGTCACTCGGACTGGACTGTAGATCAAGAGATGTGGGTTTTTTTGACGGCCAACAGGCAACTAACTTTGATGATAATGAATACTAAACAGGAGACACAGGCACAGGTGACAGGGCTAGGGTACAAAATCAGGCTGCAGCACAAGCGCACAGAGAGGAATAGCTACTTGTACTTTCAAACCACACGCAAAATAAACATGAAACAGAGGATAACAAAATGTGGAGCTGAAAATTTGGCACGTGACGCGGTTGTGTGAGTCATTCAATGACTCATTTTGCCCATTTTTTCTTTCTTTTTCCCTTTTTTACCGCGGTATGTTCCAAAAATCATTAAAATCATTGTTTAGGGAGTAGTAAAATACTGGTACATCATGTATTATTTTACTACTCGGAGTACTCCCTCAGAAAGTCGGACCACCAAGCAGGGACTTGGTCCTCCACCCACGCATCGGCTGACTCAAAGCGGCATCATGCCATGGTGTTGGTGATCATACCAGGAGATTAAAAAAAGGAGCGAAGCGAAACAAACATCACTCTCCCGAGTCTGTCTCCAGTCTGTCTCTGATCTTCAATCTCACACTCAACTCTTTCTTCACGGTTGTTAGGGCACGCTTTCTTGTTATTGGGCAACCTGCAGAATCTGCGAAGCAAAATATACAACAACAACAACAACAACAACTCTCACTCTCCGACTCTCACTCTCACTCTGAGTCTCACTACGGTCTCACTCTCACCAGGCTCTTACTGTCTTAGTCTCACTCTCAGTCTCACCAGGCTCTTAGTCTCACTCTCAGTCTCACCAGGCTCTTAGTCTCACTCTCACTCTCACCAGGCTCTTAGTCTCACTCTCACTCTCACCAGGCTCTTAGTCTCACTCTCAGTCTCACCAGGCTCTTAGTCTCACTCTCAGTCTCACCAGGCTCTTAGTCTCACTCTCAGTCTCACCAGGCTCTTAGTCTCACTCTCAGTCTCACCAGGCTCTTAGTCTCACTCTCACTCTCACCAGGCTCTTAGTCTCACTCTCAGTCTCACCAGGCTCTTAGTCTCACTCTCACTCTCACCAGGCTCTTAGTCTCACTCTCACTCTCACCAGGCTCTTAGTCTCACTCTCAGTCTCACCAGGCTCTTAGTCTCACTCTCAGTCTCACCAGGCTCTTAGTCTCACTCTGAGTCTCACCAGGCTCGAGTCACTGTCACTGTTACTCTCACTGTTACTACGGTCTCACTCTCACTCTCACTGACTGTTGCCGCCAGTGTCATTGTTACCGTCTCACTCTCACCAGGCTCTTAGTCTCACTCTCACTCTCACTGTTACTCTCACTCTCAGCCACAATGACCCACACAGGCGCTAGGCGCAGGAATGAAGAAAATAGAAGAAAAAAGGCCCAACCGGTTAACCCGGCCTTGCCAGTTATTAGTTACGTGGACTTACTGGGGTCGCCATGGCAAATAATGAAACAATGCACAAACAATCATGAATGCACAATGATACATAACAAAATGGATACATGTGAAGCGAATGGCAGCATCACCATCACCATGATCACTGGCTGCCAGGACTCGAGCACTAGACAAACCCACTACTGCCTGGCACTAGGCTGCGGCTGGTACATACATGTACCGGTAGATGTACGGCGGGCATCGCGAAGGCAGGCAACGCTAGTGTACCATGGTGTACTGTTAGCAGACCGCAGCTCAGCCGACACCGGATCCACGCCATGACTGTTGAGTATGATTCGCCCGATCAAGTTCTCCGATGTCATGGAGGCAATACGCTTCAGTAGTGCAGACCGTGCGGCTGCCTTGCCAGCTCCACCCGTGGCGGAGAAGACCAAGGCCCGCGGAGGTTTGGGAACAAAGCTGCCGTGCTCGATCTCCTTCAATTCACCCTCCGCTCGTGGCGTCTTCGTTTTTCAAGTTTGTGACGTTGGTAGCAAGCCGAGAGAGGAGGAACGACTCTGATTTGAGGGAGCGAAAGGCCACAGCCTTGAGGCCGCGTTGAGGCTTGAATACAGTCCTGACCTGAGTGACACCGAGTCCGAGTAACGGGGACCGTGGCCGCGCTGTGAAGACGTGTCCGATTCTGATTCACCCCGATACAACTAGTGCACTGCGGATATGAGTAAACCGCTGGATGATGAGTGTGGACAAGGGCGAGTATTGCAGGGTTGTACTCGTGGACATGAGCACTATAGTACAGTGGTTCTCCAGCTATCTCCAGGGTCGACGACAACAGGTGAAAATTGGAAATAACAGAGGAGACGAGACACATTGTACACGAGGCGTTCCGCAAGGGTCGGTGCTAGGGCCTCTGTTATTCTCTTTGTACGTGCGACATGCCCCTGGAGTACTTCGCCACGCAGAGTCCCAACAGTATGCTGACGATATCGCCTTTTATATTACACTGTAAGTGGAGCACTTCAGCACAAGCTGACAAGTGAGTTGAACAGACTAAATACGTACCTTGGAAGCATTGGTCTCATCTTGAATGCCCAGAAAACGAAGTTCATGGTGCTTCGGAAGAAGGCTCTGCCTCTTCCGCCGGATCTTACCATTGCATGGTGGTGTCGATATTCGACCTTCTGCCACAGCGCGTTATCTTGGCCTTATTATTGACCAACACCTCACCTTTGAGGATCAAGTCATCCATGTATGTACATCTGTTTATAAGAAGATAGGAGCATTCCGCCACTGCCGCCGTACAGTAGATCACACAACTAAGCGAATATTTTATTTATCTCTCATCCAATCCACTATTGAATACGCCAGCAACTCGTATGCTCACTGTCTGACACCACCTTTATACTCTCGCCTTGTTACTTTAAGTCATATCAGCATGAAAACGGTTTTTGGTCTCCCTCGCCGTACCCCGACTGTCTTTGTTTTGCGGCACGCTAAGTTATACTCCCTCGAATCTCGTCTCAACTTGAGGCTTTTTATTTTTGTTTTCCGCTGTATTCATAAGCTTACAAGTCCTCTTCTTTCCTCAATGTTCACCCTCCATTCGGCTGCTACTTGGAGAGACGCACTAAGAGGGCAATCATTCTCTTCACTTTCTTTGCCCGCTGCTACCACTAGATATGGCATGTTCTGTATTTCTTTCCTTGGCGCTGATAGGTGGATTTCTCTGCCTGTCTCGTGTCGTCAGGTTGAGCATCTATCCGTTTCTGTTCCGCTCTGTAAAGAGCACTTAGGGTTCCCTGTAACAAGACGGCAACGTCTGTAGGGCCTTCCCTATCAAAATAATAAATTCTACTACTACATGTACTACTACTACTACTACTACTACTACTACTACTACTACTACTACTACTACTACTACTACTACTACTACTACTACTACTACTACTACTACTACTACTACTACTACTACTACTACTACTACTACTACTACTACTACTACTACTACTACTACTACTACTACTACTACTACTACTACTACTACTACTACTACTACTACTACTACTACTACTACTACTACTACTACTACTACTACTACTACTACTACTACTACTACTACTACTACTACTACTACTACTACTACTACTACTACTACTACTACTACTACTACTACTACTACTACTACTACTACTACTACTACTACTACTACTACTACTACTACTACTACTACTACTACTACTACTACTACTACTACTACTACTACTACTACTACTACTACTACTACTACTACTACTACTACTACTACTACTACTACTACTACTACTACTACTACTACTACTACTACTACTACTACTACTACTACTACTACTACTACTACTACTACTACTACTACTACTACTACTACTACTACTACTACTGAGAACGTTGACTTTATTTGATAACAAACTGGGTGCCGGAATGAAGAATTCAAAAAACGGAAGCAAAGAAAGCAATGGTGACAAATCCAATCAAGTATATCGTAGATAGGAAAATCAAATCAAATAAATCGGAAAATCCAATAAGAAAATAAAATAAAAGAATCAAGTCAACTATCGAATACCAAAACAAAGAGTAAACCCGCATCCGCAAACACAATCAAAGCAGCACCGTTTACCCAACTCATCCAACAACCCAGACAAGAGAAAACCAGATAAGGTACACAAAGAAAACGGGCAAGTCAACCATCAAATCATGACCAACATATAATAGCAAAATTGCTACAACAAAAATACAGACAATATCATGAAACAGTTAGGTCAGGCATGCTAAACAGCCAGGTGGGCGCGGGCCCTACACTCCACCACAAAACCGCCATGACCAGCACCCATGAGCCTTCGGCGGTACGAGTGCCGTGACCCCCGCAGACAAGTTATTTGCCAGCGAATCAGGCACACACTGATCCGGGCACGAAGCTGGCGCATGATCAGTGAGTAGGGGAGATCACGGTTCCTCTCACTGATTTGAGCTGCTAACGACTTCAGGAATATTGACGCCTCCGGCGCACACTGCCCATTGGTGGCGAAAACCAACGGCGTGAACGAACCGCGGTCGACGTTGTTGATCCGGCTCGAGTACTGGCGCTTCTTCTGCCTCTCGTTGTCAGACAACTGGCTCGCTACTCCCGAACGCGACAGCAAAGACGGCCTTGGGTGGGTAACCCGAACATCAAAGAAGGCGTTTTGCTGTCGCGTCCAGAAACCGCGAGCCCGTATGTCTGCACGAGCGGCATCAGCTCTAATACCTGAGACCGTCTCACCATCGAGAGGCAGCAGAACAGGCTCCAACTCGACATCATACGCCACCTCGGACATGGCACTAGCCAGCAGGTCCCGAACCTCGTTGTGACGTTGCGTTGGGTACCCGCCACAGGGGCATGTCATAGCGTGGTGGCTTGTCATGTCTTTGCCACACACGCATGATGCTGGCAAACCTTCCAAGGGAAGGCCATATCGTAGGCCCACAGCATCACGGAAATCCGTCCTGCTGAAAACGGTCCCAGGCATTGTAGTCGCAGGTGGAGTCGTCAACCAACTTGAGACGCCATCTTCACCTGCGACCTCTACCAGTAGCCGTTGCGTGGGCGGGAGGCCGGATCGGATCTCCTCTGCCAAGTTCCGCTGCTGAACACGGCGCGCCGCCCGAGCACCTGCAGCCAATGTCCTGCATGCTGTTACCACAGACGACACCTCATGCGTGGAGGTGCCACCGACTACCAACTCCACCATGGGTGCAATGGCGTCTCGGCACAAGGTGCGCTCAGCAGCCGCCCGTGACACATTGCTACGGACCGCAAGACCACCAAGCTTTGCTGGAAGGGAAAGCAGTGCTCGCAAACCTCCCTCAACCGGCACAGAATGGCCCGTGAATGCAGGCAGCAGCTGATCATTTAGGACGCGATCCAGGGGTGCGTAGAGTGCCCCGTCAGCATTAGCAACGCGCTGCAAGTATGACCACCGAGACTGAATGGCAGAGATGAATAAGTGGTAAGCCGCGTGGGGCTGGGTCTCTGCAACACTCGCCAGCCTCTTGGTTAAAGCACACCAGTCACCCACACGGCTTCCCACTACTACCCCCCTACTTCCCACTACTACTACTACTACTACTACTACTACTACTACTACTACTACTACTACTACTACTACTACTACTACTACAAGTACTACTACTACTACTACTCGAGTTTGGATTTTTTCTTCAATCATCTTTCCGATCACATTATCATGGATTTTCAATAAAGTTCTTTGACTACTACTACTAGTACTAC